AGTGGAAACAATAAGGGTGATTTTGGAGTTAATCATAAAGCATTGTTTTTATGTAGTGGTCTGCAAAATGTTATGGTATAAATAAAGCTGTCTGGAAGAACTCAGCAGAGATTGCTTCCACCAGAACATCTCCTGTGTCTGTCTCGTCTGTGTTCACCGACTCCACACCTCCTTCAGGTCTGCAGTTCAACCCTCCCTCCCGGAGCTGCACTCCGTCAGATTTTAATTCCCTAGTTGTTCCCCTGTCCGTGGCATTGTTTGCCCACTGTAACCTTCCCTCATTCCCTTTCCCTGCCAAGTCCCTCCAGGACCATTGGTCGCGTTGCTTTCCCCTCAAGCTTGCTTCCCATGCCTATCTTATGTAAGTAGGCAAACCAACAGTGGCATAGACCAAACAAATAAACACCAACGATTGTACAAAAAAGAAAAGAAGAAGCACACGTAATTCCAGGTCTGTCCACTGACCTTTATGACTATCTCCCCACTGACCCTGGGGAAATTCCCAGAGCTGCCCCTCCTAGCCTGAAGTCTATTTTGGGGATGTTTTAGGGGTCTTGTGGCTTGGCTTTGCTCCCGTTGCTGATCTGTTGTGTTCTCTTATTGGTTTGCCCTGCAGTGGGGGGTTCAGACCGCACTACCTCCCTGCGGTGTGTCCCCAGTATTGCCCTCTGCCACAGTGTGCTCCGGTTAGGAGACAACATGTCGTGAGCTGTTGTCAGCCCTACAGCTCTCTCTGCCTTGGCACACCCGTGCAGAGGCGTCATCCTCCGGGATTGGGGTGTCAATATGGGGTCCAGACTGACCGTTCCTTTCTCTCCTTCCTTCTTGGTTTGCTTCCGTGTGAGCGTGATAGGCCGGCCCCTCACCCCAACCTGTAGATTTAGTGTTGTTCTCTGTCACATGTATTTCTAGGAAGGAGGTCCGTTTGGCTCTGGTTGGGGCCGGCCCTGGTTGTCAGCCAAGTCTTAAAACAATGGGTTAGAGCTAGTCAAGGCATTGCACTCAGAGGAAGTCGTTAAACAGACTAGAATGAAAAATGATATGTATGGCAGACCGAATGCTCTGTGATGCTGGGCTGAGACAGAAGAGATATGGGGTTGAAAGGAATGAGATTGGACCAGATGTTGGGGTGCTTAATTATACTGCATTCTCGTGGCCCTTGAGTCCACTCTGACCTGTAGCAACCCCATGGGACAGGGAGGACCTGCCTCTGTGAGTTTGAGACTGTAACTCGTTATGGAAGAAGAAAGCCCAGTCTTTCTCCCTATCCTATGCTAAGGAATTTTAACTGTGTTCTGAGCTGCTATTGAATGATGGAGAAGAGTTACTTGGTCAACGTTGGGCACTAGATCTCTCTGGTAGCAGTGGGTTAGATGCATTTGATTAAACAAACACAGGGAGTAGGATGTCTGCACCATCAGCCTAGGTTAGCTGTAGTAAGGACCCGAAGGATGGCAAAAGTGATTGGGAGGAAGAAATGAAGCTGGGACCACTGGGTGTCTGATTTGAGCTGGAAAGAGACAGAGGAGAGACGAGTATGTCCAGACTTTCATTTTGCAGCACGGAGTGGACGGGGATGCACCACAGGCAGCAAGGGCAGGAAGGGGATCTTCTTTGGGGTGGGGTGATTCCTTGTTGCCATCAGGTGCCGTGGATGGGGTTCAGACTCATAGGGATCCTCCCACAACAGAACAGAAGGCTGTCTGAGTCTGCACCATGTTCCCAATCGCTCAGATGCCGGAGACCACTGCTACAGACACGAACCCTATACTTCAGCGGTTCTCAACCTTCCTCATGCGGTGACACTTTCATACGGTTCCTCATGTGGGGGTGACCCCCCAACCATAAAAATTGTTTTCATTGCTACTTCATCACTGTCATTTTGCTACTGTGATGAATCGGGCGACCCCTGTGAAAGGGTCGTTTGACCCCCCAAAAGGGGGCACAACCCACAGGTTGAGAACTGCTGTTCTACTTTATCAAGCATGATGTCCTTCTCCAAGGACTGATTCCTTTGGATGAACACGTCCAAAGGACGTAAGGCCAAGTGCTGCCAGCCTCACTTTTAAGGAGCATTCTGGCTGCAATGCTTCCAAGACCGGTTTGTCCGTTCTTCCGGCAGTCTGTGATACAGCCACCATTCTTCACCACCCTCATAATTCAAGGACAACGACTCTTTTCCGGCCTCCTTATTCATTGTCCCGCTTCGGTATGCATCTAAGGAGGTTGAAAATACCAGCCAGCTGTTGAAAGACCTAGAAGGCTTCAGATGGCTGTGGAATAGATGTTCATGTGATATCAGAGACCATTGACTTTATGAATCTGAAAGGTGGAGGAGAAGAATGGGCTAAAATGAGAATCTTATGGGTGGAAATTGAAACCACAAGGAGGCATGGAATCAATCACTGATGAAATATGGAGAGGCAGCTTCGGGGAGGCAAGGCCAAGGGCAAAGACTTTAGGAACATCTTAATGCTATCGTGACAGGCAAAGGAAGGCACTTGGGAAAGGACGTGGGGGGAAGTGACCGTGTATCAGTGGGTGGTAGTGGGAGCTGCCTTACCCAGGGACTAGGCCAAGAAAAGGTCTGGAGTATTAGCGAGGTTTGGGATTCAGGCTGGTCCCGGTGAAAACACACTCTACTTTGCTGTCACCTTAACGGGATGTTTCAGTCACCATGTTGATGAAAAAAATATATATATCCTCCTCCATCTGTCCTTCATCTCTATTAATTAGGACTGGGTGGATCAAAAACCATCTCTTCTTGTAGGAACATGAAGAAAACCTGGACTGGAAATCAGGGAACTGGATTCCAGTTCTAGCTATGCTAGAAACACTGGTGTGGGGACCCCAGGCATCATCCCAGAACCTGTCTTGGGCTGGTGCCTGTCTGTAAAACGAAGGAATTGACCGGAGTATCTGTCTCCAGGGGCTCCAGCAGCAGGGCCAGTTAGGAGCAGAAAGCACAGGCCATTTTCAAAGTGAGCAACGTAAAGGTTTGTTCACTAGGCCTTGTGCTGAAAGGGCAAAAGGCAACGTGTCAAGGAGGTAGCTGTAAAAAAGCAGCTGCCATCGCCATTAAGGTTGGGGGATCAAAGGAATGAAGCTGGGATCATCAAAATTGAAGAGGGACCCCGCAGCGCTGGCAGCTGGACTCCCAAGAATCGGGCTCCACTTTGGGGCTGGGTGTCGCCAGCTCAGCAGAGAAGCCTGGGGGCCAGGGCTAGCTGCAGGGGTCTGAGGGGAGCGTGCCAGTCGGCTGACGCTGCTATCTCTGATGGGGCACCATGAGACTGGTTCTGTAAATGTTAGACAAACCGCAAGCCCAAACCGGTGCCGCTGCGTGGGTGCGTAGTTGTGGATGCGATGAGAAACGTTGCAAGGATCCCGAAAGGTAGGGCAGCCCCTAGGAAGCGCCAAGGTCTTTCCAGCTGGTCTCGATGCTCTCGCTAGTACCACCTGCTGGCAGAACTGCACAAAACTGGACCGGTGGCGAGCTGATGTGGCATTCACGAGGGCTAGCTATAGGAGGACCACACAGCTCTCCACTCCAAGGGAGAGATTTGCCGAGACGACAGACATAAGGCAGGACCACTCAGGGCGAACCAGATGTTGGGTCCTTCCATCAATAGACTGTTTTCAGGCGCAGTGCTGTGGGCATCTTGCTGAAAGGCTGGCTATGTGAGAATCTTTTATTGTTGCATAACGTAAATGAGAGGAAGACATAGTCTTTTTTTTTTAAACCTTTTTAGCGTGGATTAGTTAGGAGGTTTACAGATCAGATCACCAGTGTTGCATTCAACAGTGGACGAAATAGTCTGACTCAGAATTAATGATGCCAAAATCCAGACAGGTGGACAAGACACCAAGCTTAGGCTTCAAAAACCAAAACAGAAGCTTAGGCTTCTGAAAGCTAGAGACCCAGAACTCCTGGTTTGCTGAGTAGCTAGGCTCTTAGGGCAAGAGATAAAAAAGCCAAGGTCATCCAAGAAAGACACTAGAACAAAACAAAAAAACCACTGCCATTGAGTTGATGCTGACTCTTGACAACCCTATCGGACCCCCTTTGGGTTTCTGAGACTGTAAGTCTTGATGGGAGTAGAAAGCCTGGTCTTTCTTCCTAGGAGTGGCTGGTGGTTTTGAACTGCTGACCTTGTAGTTAGCAGTCCAACAAGTAACCCACCTCACCCCCAGGGCCCCTCTTTGGGGTCAGAATTGAGTCAGAATTAGCACGATGGCAGGGAGTATGTGCAGGAAGGAACCCTGGTGGCGGAATGGTTAAAGTGCTTGCCTACTAACCAAAAGTCAGTCCTTTGAACCCGGCAGCTGCTACACTGGGGGCGAGTTGTGGCAGTCTGCTTCTGTAAAGATATACAGGGTGGGAAACTTGGGGCGGGGGTGGGGGTGAAGGGGGGGTGCATGTGAAAAGTTCTACTTTGTCTTCTAGGCTTCTTATAAGCCGGAGTCTACTCTACGGCAATGGACTTGGTCGCTGTTTTCTTAGTATGTGCACGTCAACACGCCTACCTCCAATGCTATATTCTATCCTAAAGAAACTCTTGCACGTGAATCCCAGGAAATATACACTGGAATAGTTATAGCAGTGTTGTCCATAATAGGGGAAAGAAGCTCCCCACTCCCCCACCCGCCAAAAAACAAAACAAAACAGGTACATTCCCACGACGCCAAAATAAAAACCAATAACCAAACTCACTGCCATTGTGTCAATGCCAATGCCAACTCACGGCGACCCTTTAGAACAGGGTAGGACTGTCCCTGTGAGTGTCCAAGGCTGAAACTCTCCATGGGAGTAGAAAGTCCATCTCATCCCCAAGGAGGCTGGTGGTGTCGAACTGCTGACCTTTCAGTGCGCAACCCAACTCATAACCACTAGGCCACTAGGGCTATCAGTATGATAAGACAGTAAGAAAATGAATGAACCTCAGCTGTGTCCATCCGTGTAGAACAAAATAATCACATCGTAGACAAAGCATGCCGTATGAATACATTTATATTAGTTGTCCGTTTTGTAAGTACGCGTTGTTTAAGGCGACAACCAAGAGCTGTGAAACAAACACGGGCAGCAGGGAAGTGGTCCTCACAGAGGGGAGGCTTGGGGTTGGGTAGCAAGGAGGTGTGCGCTCAAGGGGCCATCGCCTGGTAAAGACTCATTTTCCCATCCTGGGGAGTAGGTCCACGAGAGTTCACTTATTATCGTTCTTTTAAACTGTACATTTTATATACTCTTATAGTTCACAAAAATAAAAACTAACAAACCGAGGACTGAGCCTTCTAGTCCTCTTGTCAGAGGGCTGTGCTGCTGGCTGTGGTAATGCCGGATTCCTTGGCCATGGAGTAAAAGAAACCGGGGGTTTGCAGCAGTTCTTCGGGGCTGCCGAACTCTACAATCTTCCCATTGTCGAGGACCATCACCCTGGAACAAGGAAAAAAGAGAAGTCTTAGAAAGTCATCTCGGACGTATGGGGATGACCAGGAAGGGCGTCTATCTTTGCCCAATGAGTTTCTAAGATTACTAAGATGGGGGTGGGAACAGGGAGGTGGAGGGATGCGAGGGGATAACAACAAGGTGGAGTGTTTAACATGAAGATAGATAGATGATAGATAGATAGATACATAGATAGATAGATAGATACATAGATAGATAGATAGATAAAATTAAAATTGCTTCCTGGGGTGGGGAAGGGGGCCCTCTGGGTTCTTTACCCCTCAGATGAAGCTATTGGTCTGAGTGGCAGTAAAAGGAGGAAAGAATGAGAAAGTGGAAGTAGACTAAGATTTATTAGTGACAGACAAGTTCATTTCAAACATTAAAAAAGGGACAGATGCGTGGCATCATCCGTATTGTTGAATGGTACTCCGAGGGGCTTTCTTTGGCAGGGAGGAATGAAAAGATCATGGAATTTCCCCACAAACGCTTGAATCTCCCTCTGAAGTGCAACCCAGAAGTTGCAGAGGGGAGGGACCCTGGCTGCTTCATGGAGGCAGCGGCCCAGGCTCTGAAGGTTGGGGAAACCCACGGCCAACACCCGCTGCACGTGGATTTGGCCTCCCCCTCACCACACTCTTCTCATTCGGCCAGTTCCCCCGTGGTGCCCTGTGGGTGTCAGGGTGGCCTGAGCTCCATCAAGACTCCCATGGCTGTTTTCAAAAGGCGATCACCAGGCCTTTCCTCCCAGGGGCTTCTAAGTATGGAAATGTCCACTCTTTCCATTCGTGGTCCAGTGTGGTCACCCCCCGCCCACCCCAATTCTCCAGGCCCTCGGCTCTGTTAGTGATGGCACACCCCTTCCTAGTTCACCTTCCCGGTGGTCCCCTGTACACTCCCATTCACTGACGGTACCACTGTGGACACGGGCCTTGGTCTCTCCGGGGCTCCGGAGGAAAACCATGGGGGCTAGAGCTTTGCTGTCCGGCTCTGAGAGCTGAGACTGCCCCTGTTGGGAAGGGTTTGACCTCAACTGTGTCTACCTGGCTCTGTCCCTTGCTTCACTCACTTGTCACTGTCCATGATGGTGTGCAGCCTGTGGGCGATGGTGATGACCGTGCAGTGGGAGAACTCTTGCTGAATGGTCGTCTGAATGAGGTGATCCGTCTTCAGGTCCACAGCAGCCGTGGCCTCGTCCATGATGAGGATCTTGGACTTCCGGAGCAGCGCCCTGCCCAGGCACAGCAGCTGCCGCTGCCCGATGCTACAGCCAGGAAAGAAAACCAAGCTTTAGGGCAGCGGTTCTCAGCCTGGGGGGTCGAACGGCCCTTTCACAGGGGTTGCCCAATTCATCATAGTAGCAAAATGACAGTGATGAAGTATTTTATGGTTGGGGGGTCACCACCACATGAGGAACTGTATGAGAGTCGCGGCATGAGGGAGGTTAGAACCACTGCTTTAGGGCCTAAGGACCCTGGAGCAACCTGGGTATGTGGACAGGAGACAGCGGTCATGTTCCAGATCAGATTTCCCCAGCTGCTACTCCGAAGGACTTCTAGAGCACTTTCCCCAACTCCAGACGTCCAGAGCGCCTTTCTACACACAGCCAGACTCTCGGCCACCGAGTGGGTTCTGACTCGTAGCGACCGTACAGGACAGGGCGCAACGGTCTCCGTGGGTTTCCGAGACTTTACGGGAGCAGACAGCTTTGTCTCTCCCCCAAGGAGCAACTGGTAGTTTCAAACTGTCGACCTTGCAGTTAGAAGCCCCGACTCGCACCCCATTAACTGCTTCAAGTTTATTGCTGTCAGTGGCAGCGTTTCCCCAACTTTCCCAGTTTAAAAAAATCCAACACAGGAACATCGTTTTTAAAAATTCCAGGTTCTGGGTCCACTCTCGTTCGGGAAGGAACCTCAAACACCACCACCGCCACTGCCACCGCCACCCCAAAAGGCACTAACATTAAGTCTATTCTGACTCATAGAAACCCTATGAGCCAGTCAGGGTGAAACTGCCCCTGTGGGGTTCCAAGACTCTAACTTTTCACAGGAGCAGAGAGCCTCGCCTTTCTCCCAAGAAGCAGCTGGCGGGCTTGAGCTACTGACCTGGCGTTTAGAAACCCCCCTCCCCAGCAGTGAGTATTGCTAATCAAGCACCGTGAGGAGAAGCTCGTGGTGGATGGAGGAGGAGAAACACCAGCCCTGGAATGGAGTTTTGCATTGGCAGCTGCTAATCCAGCACACTGACGACAGCTTCAGAAACGACATGGGCGTCACCTACCTCACCGTCATGGGAGACGACCGACACCATTAATATGGAGCGAGACCGCACCCGAGTGCCCTGGTGGCATTTCTGGGCGGCCTTCACAAATCCATTCATTATTTTAATGTGTAATTCTAGTCTTGGGGCTAATTATTTCTTTTAAGGCCTCTGCCTTGATTAGAGATGAAGCTAGCTAATGAACCTGAGGTCTCAGTGTGAGATGCAATGTATGTGAAATTCGAATATGCTTGTAAAATGCAAATAGCTCTAACTGGCTACAAGCCCCTGAGGAAGGCTGGACCTCTGATTTACATAGAGCAGCGCTGGCAAATGATGTGAAGGGAATCTTCAGGAACCGGTTAATTGCCCCTTCCTGCTGTGGCCATCAGAGACAGCGTATTAACCCGGGGTGGCTAGATTAAGTTCTGTTAATTGAGAAGTCACCGACATGAACTCCCAGTGTCGCTCTGGAACGCGTAGGAAGAGAGATGTCAAAACAGCGGCCTCCCGTGGCTTAACTCCTACCTTGGTGGCTGGACTTCGTGGTTCCAGGTGTACGTGGAGGCAAGGCCTTGGCTGTCAGTTGCCGTCTTCCTATACGGGCCGAGGACTCATCAGGACTATCGCTCACCAGGCCTGAACCCTCCTTCTGAGACGAAAGTCCCTGGTATTACCCTTTCAGGGTCTCTGGGCGTGCACCGGGCGGACTGGTGTAGTTTGGGTTCTCAGAGACCAGAAGCATCAAGGCAGTGGGTGTAGAGCCACCATAGCACCCCACCACACTCACTGCAACCCACACTCGCCCTGGGTTAATATCAGACTGTGCTATCCAAGTCACTAGGGGTGCTGGTGCCATAGCGGTTTGCTTGCCGAGCTGCTAACCACAGGGTCAGCGGTTCAAGACCTCCAGCCTTTCTGAGCTTTCCACTCCCATAAAGCGTTACTGTCTTAGAGCATTTCTACCCTGTCCTATAGGGTCACTACGAGTTGGAATTAACTTGATGGTATTGACCTTGGTTTTTGTTTTGTTTTTTAATCTGCATCATTTGACTCTGCACCCCTAAGGTCTGGCACATAGTAGGTGTTCATTACAGACTTGTTGGCTGCATGTCTGAATGGTTTCTTTTTTAAAAAACATTTCTGTTCCATTTGACCTTCTTTGGTTACATATTTGTATGTGCACTTTACATTTTTAACTGTTTTATTGAAGACTATGTCTTTACATATCACACAGATCCATGGTTCTAATCGATCAAAAAGAGTGCTCAATCATTGCCACAATCCATTTTGAAACGTTTTCCTCATCCTTGCCTCCATCGTTAATAGCAATTCCTGTTATTCACAACTCCCCAAGCTCCCCTACAGGAACCTCAAGGCTGACCTGGATGCCGTCTCTGTGGGCGTACTGAATGGTTTCTTTTTCACAGGCACGAAGAGCCGCTGGATCCTTACTCTGGTTGATGGGGAACCAGTCGGAGAGCAGCGCCCACCATAGCAGGCGCTGCAGCCTGAACCCACCTGGGTCCCTGTTTTCGTGGGACTTGATGCCACCTGGGCCTTGGGATGCTTTAAGCTTTCGGGTAAGTCTGGTGTGTGGCCTATGTATGAATCAGCACCCCTGGCAGGGCTTCTCCCACACATCACACAGCATCTCTTGTTACAGGGCAGGCCCGGAGCACGGAGATGAAGGCCCAGTTGTTGCGCGTTGATAACAAGCTCCCAGGTGACGTCAGAACTGCTGGCCATGAGTGGAGCTCCGGAGCCTGACCAATGGCAAACGGTCTGCCCCCTGCCAACCATTGCTAAGCGGCACTCAGACCTGGGGCAAGACCCAGCCATGAGCAGCTAGGCTCTGTTTCAGGCTAACGACAAGGGAGGGGAGACAGAGCCAAACTGTTGTGTGGAGCCTGTGAACAGAGCGGAGGGCAGACGTGTGACTGTGTACGATGCTGTGAAAACGTCGGAAGAGCCGGGACACGCCGAGGCGGTGTGCTGCTTGCATGTGACGCAGCCTCCCCGAGGACTTGGTGGACACTGGAGAGCCCTGTCCCCTCTATACCCTCTGGGGTAAGCGCGTGCCAAACTTGGGCTCACCAGGATCCCTTGGTGGTCTTTTCCAACTCCTCAAATGCAGGCCCCACTCATACCAATGTCAACGTACCCTCTGGGGTCAGACTAAGGAGCCCTGGTGGCGCAGTGGTCAGGCAGCGGGCTGCTAAGGGCAGGGTTGGCCATTGGAAACCACTAGCCACTCCCATGGGAGAAAGAGAAGGCTTTCTACTCCCATGAAGAGCCACAGCCTCCGAAATTCAGAGGGCAGTTCTCCTGCTGAGTCGGCACTGAGGCGCCGGCAATAGTCTGTTTTTCTGGATTTGAGGGTGGGACGAGGCACGGGGAGTGTGTCAACTCAGACTCTCGTGTGCAGCAAAGCCGAGAACCTGAGCTTGCTTCACAACCGCGTGATCTGTAGACGACTCCCGCCGCCACCACCACCACCCCGCCCGCATTCAACATGGCTGAAAGACACGGGGACTGCCTTTCAACGTCTCAGGTCTGTTTAAACAGAAAAGGTCCCAAGCTTTTGGAAGCCCGATCATGTCGGTCATCTTCATGAAGGTTTCGCTTTATACATTAGGAAAGAGGCCCAGGCCCCTGAAATCCTAGGTGTCTGTCACCTCCCATCCTCTCACTGCCTGGGTGGGGTGAGAGGGGGGTGTGGGTTACGAGACCTTACCTGAGGTTTTCACCAGCCTCCGTCACTTCATGGGAGAGCCCAAGTTGCAGACCCGCCACGAAGGATTTGAGGTGAGCCAGTTCTAGGGCCTTCCAAATCTCCTCATCGGAGTAGTTGTTGAAAGGGTCCAGATTCATCCTCAAGCTTCCAGAGAAGAGGATGGGGTCCTGCAAATCCCACAGACAAGGGGTCGCTGGGGCCAGTCTGAGAAGGAACCGCCTGCTGGGCTGAGCTGGCGGGTGGGCAAACTTGTGGCAGCCTTCGCCGCTAAAGACTTGACAAGGCCACCGCGCCAGTAAACCCAGCCTGGGGTTAAGTGGAGTCCATAGGGTTTGTAAAGAGCCTGGATAGTGTAGTGGTTACGCACTGGGGTACTAATGCAAGGTCAGCAGTTCAAAACTACCAACCACATTGTGGGAGGAAAATGAGGCTTTCTACTCTCAGGAGAAGGTACAGTCTTGGAAACCCAGTTGGCGGAGTTCTACCAGTTCTATCGGGTCTCGGTGAGTCCGCACGGGCTCAGTGGCGGTGAGTTGGGTTTTTGGTTTCTTGGTGGTGAGTGGTTTTCATCTGAGTCTCGTTTATGGACTGTCAAACTGGCCACAGTCTCTTAAGGGCCTGGAGGGAATGCGAACTGCGCACTTTGAAGGGGGAGGACTCCGGGGAGGGCCGAGAGAAAGAGCACCGTCACTTAAGACGGACACACGGTGCTTTTCAAGAGGCGAGGCAAGAACGACCAGCCAAGTAAGCAAACAGCAAACTCGCCTGCACTGGCTCGGAGAGACTGGTTCCCAGCAAGGAGCCCCCGGCTTGCAGGAGAGGGCAAGCGCGCCCACACCTCACCCGAGCCCGCTCTTCCGTGGCAGGCTGGGGCCAGAAGCCCAAGGGGAAACTTTCTTGCAGATGCATTAAGTGCTCTGTTTGCTGGTAGGAACCTGGGCAAACCCCATCCCCTAGCTTTTGGGCAAGGAGCCCTGGACCTGCAGTAGGGAAGTGTTTGGCTGCTAACGGAAAGGTTGCTGGTTCAAACCCATGCGCCGCTCCGCAGGAGTCAGACATGGCAGCCCTGCTCTGTCAAGATTTACTGCCTTAGAAACCCTATGGGCCGTTCGCCTCTGTCTTATTGGGGTCACCGTGGGTCAGAATCCACCCGATGACAACAGGCATCTCTCAGCCACATTAAACGGGAGTGTAAAACTTAATGGCTTCAAGCTTCAGCGGCAAAAGCAAATGGTGTTGGGCGCTCTAGAAATGCAAACGCCCCACCTGTTCTATTGACCCGTTGTGCTGCTGCCACCTACTGGCAGTCATACAAACAGCACTACAGGTGCAAGACTTTTTTTTTTTTTTTTTTAAGTTCTGCAAAGAAGGTATTGGTTTCTTGGCTGGCCTGTACAAATGGAAGCGCTGATTGAAGAGGCACCAAGAAGAAAGCGCAGGTGTGCCTGTCGGAGCAGGTCGTCCCCGCCGTCTGTGCCCGAGACAGTGCCCGAGCTCACCTGTGGAATGATGGTCAGTCTCTCTCTCAGGTCGTGGAGCCCTATGGAAGCTATATCGACCCCATCGATGGTGATCTGGCCCCCGGCCGCCTCTAGGATCCTGAAGAGGCAGTTTGTAAGGGACGATTTCCCAGCTCCCGTCCTGCCTACGACACCGATCTGTAAATACAATTCCTTTGTAAGTTAATTCAACATCCTTCTTGGAGGGGAGGGGTGGGGGTGGGGGTGGGGGCGGGAGGCATTTAGTCTGGGCATCCATCATCATAGGTGATAAGAAGCAGTGATCGGCTACTTTATCTTGAAGATGTTAAACTGGTTTTAGTTTGGGAAAAGAAAAAGAAAAAACAGTTCACAGATGTCAAGGGAAAAGGTGGGGGGTGGGGGGACCCTCCCCCCCCTGCCTCCTAAGCTGTTTGTGGCTTGCTGAGAACACAAGTGTCTATAGGGAATGGGCAGCATGTCCCCTCAGGTACTGTTGCTGTCCCCATCATCACTAGGAATGGCGTGTGTGTGTGTGTGTGTGTGTGTGTGTGTGTGTGTGTGTGTTCTTATTTAGAAGAAAGGAGAGAGTGAGAATCAGGTTTGCTGGTCATGGAGAGCCAGTATCTCAGTACCATCCTCACCTGCCCTGCTTTGGTCCTACATCAGCACCCAAGTCCCCAGAGCAGAAGCACGTCAGAAGAAGGGGCAGGATTTTACAGCTCAGCAAGAGAGACCAGCCATTTTCAGGAAGAGGACCAGGCCGTTTTCTCACCCAGAGACAACCCCCCCACACTGCTACTCTCTCATGCCATGGCCCTTACAGGCCAGGAGCTCTGCCATCGCAGAGAAAACAGGTTGTTCTCTACGGGGAGGCAGGGATGGGCAGATGCATTGAGCCTTCTCTTTGGTCGCTTGTCGATATCCTGCTCTACGTCCTTCCAGCTCTCCGGGGCAAAGAAGAGCCTTGACTCTCCCAGGCCACCCCAGTGATGAAGGCCAGTCCTACTGTGTGTCACGTCTGAACTCAACTGTGTCCGCTGAGCCCCTTCACAAGGACTGACCCCACCTACCTTCTCCATGCTCCTGATGTCACAAGTGATCCCCTTCAGCGCCAGATCCAGCTCGGGCCGGTAGCGCACTTGGTAGTTGCTAAACTTGATCTCCCCTTTCCTGGGCCATCCTGCTGGGGGTCTCGTATCTGTCACCCAGGGTGCCTGCGAGGAGACAGGAGAACCGCAACAGCTCTGCTTTGCAGGCTACCAGCTCAGCCAAATCGTGTCCGAAGCACAGGAAAAGGGTGGCCCTCTGAGCATCTAGTGGGGCTTTCTACTGCCGTAAAGAGTTACAGTCTTGGAAACTCACAGGGGCAGTTGGACCCTGACCTACAGCCTCAGAAAGACAAGGCTTCCGCTCCCACAAAGAGTTAGTCTTGGAAACACAAGGGCAGTTCTGCTCTGTCCGAAACCAACTCGATGGCAGTGAGTTATTATGAGCATCTGCGCTGCCTAAAGGCCACTCTTACTTTCTGGAAGTTTCCTACCTTACTCAGTTAGAGAATCCTTACCCCATGCCTTTGCCCCGTGGGCCTCCAGAGTGAGGCCACGATTTAACTGGGTGCATTTCGAGCCTTGACTTCCTCTAACTCATTTCCCATTTTGAAGAAATTAGGACCTTTGAGTTGAAGCAAGGCACACTTTAGGCAAACCTTTATTACCACGTGCGAAATCTCTAGATAAGGTAATAATATTCTCTTGAACCTCTTTTCCTTCCTTCTTTCTTTCTTTCTTTCTTTCTTTCTTTCTTTCTTTCTTTCTTTCTTTCTCTCTCTGTCTTGTCTTTGGGTTTCCCTAATTCTTCCTTACCTCATTTTCCACTCTTATATATTCATTTATTCTCTCAACAGCCACAATGTTGGTCTCCATTTCCGACGTCATCCGCACTAACCAATTCAGGGTTTGTGTGATCTGCAAAGAAATCGGGAGACTGGGAATTCACCATGAAGGCAAAAACCAACTCAACTGGTCAAGCCACGGATCAAGCCAGTGCCTATTTTGTGTCTACCACTGGGCTGGGCTCGGTGAGAGATGAAGGGACGCGTGAAACAGGCCTCCCATCTTTGGGGAGGAAGGCCAAGACTGGAACATCGCCTGGTGGTAAGTCAATGACTGTTCAATGGCGTGGCGCTCACGGGAAGGGTGCGATGAGCAGGTGCAGAGCTGCCGCTCAGGGAGGAGAGGCTGCTGGTTAGAGGGCTGGGACTCAAACTGCCTGAGACCCAGCGCTGCAGGTGGAGGGCGTTGAGGATAGCCGCTCTGCAAGTGCGGAGGAGTATGAGAAAAGACACAGGACAGGAGAAGGGCTTCCTTCTCTGCTCTCACTCAACAACAGCTCAGTGGAGAATCTAGCCCTTTATGTGCGTGGGCATGGCGACACAGCTCCTTGACCATTTACTTGACCGTCCTCCACTCCAGAGGTCTCCCTGCCAGGGCAAAGATACATCTAAACTGCCAGTGAAAGGGCTGTCACGATCCGGACCAGTCTAGCCAGCAGGGAGTCTGTGGATTACCAAGGGGCAAGCTTCTTCCAGCCCAGACTCAGCACCTAGCACGTGTGCTCAGGAAGCATTTGTGGTGCGGACAGTCGTTAGAAGAGGGAGAGAAGTCAGTGGGGCAAGACGGTGGACCTGAAGAGTAACCATCCTGTACAGGTGGAAGTCGATGTAATTGTTGACACCTGAATGCTTTTGTTTAGGTTCAACGGAATAGTTCCTTGACGTATTTGCCTCACCTGCCCTAGGCTAATGCTCCTGGAAGTGGGATGGTGAGGGGGCAGCGGCACAAGGAACCCGGTGATTCTGATGAATAGTGGAGTCCTTCTGGGAGCCCTGGTGGCATAGTGGTTACATGTTGGGCTGCCAGGGAGCTGCAAGGTCGACAGTTCAAAACCACACACTGCTCCTCAGGGGGAACCACTCAGCTTTCCACTGCCCTCAACAGTGACCGTCTCAGACACTCACAGCAGTGGTTCTACACTGTCCTATAGGGTCACTATGAGTCTGTGTGGACTCAATGGCAGTAGGGTTTCTGGGTGCCCTGGTATGATCCCGGAGGGAGGGCCTTCTGAACGACTCCTGCAGGCAGAACCATATAACCACTTGCAGCTATCTAAACTCCAGTCTACTGCTGCTAAAGGGTGCCACGAAACATGGCCAAATGACTCACGTGGTCCACATGGCTTCATCCGATCCCCCCCTTTTTTAAAAATTAGCCCCAATTATTCTGTAGTCTAAGAAAAACAGACACAGAAGTAATTTGTTCACAGCGCTTTCTGGTTACTGTCATATTCTAAACAAGAAATTTAGTTTGTCTCTCTTTTGACAAGGACAGGCCCAAGAGGCCAAGAGACAAGGAGGTGTTTCATGGAACCTTTTGAAATGGCCTTAAACCTCAAGAGCAACAAAAGGTATGTCCATTTTGTGGTTGATGTTGATGCTTGTTTAGAAAAGCTAAGGGGCATGTTCGGATTAGTAAGAGAGGGAGCCCGGATTTGAACTTCAGACGCCCTAGTCCCTTGGAGTCTAGAAATGAACCAAGAACACAGCCCCCACTGTGTGCTCCAGACACACTTGGAGAATAAGGACCACTGAACTCCCAGCCTTCGGACTCACATTAAGGGCGTTGGACAGAACAAACCCCACGGTGTCCCCGCTCAGGGTATCTTTATAAATAACCATCATCAAGGACGATAAGAAGACGATCAGGTTTCCAACGAACTCCAGGCGAAACGCAAGCCACCTGCGAGGAAACAGAGCCAGAGAGAAGGAGGCATCACCATCTTCCCTTCTCCACCTCACTCAGGCCCCTTCACCGCGGGCTGGGGAGGGCCCGGCGTCCTCCTAGGCAGTGCCTCAAGGTGCCACTCCCCAGTTCTCCGACAGTTGGCAAATTGGATTTCAAGGGAATGAATTGTATTTCAAAGATATTAGGAGAGTTAGCTAACCTGACACAAAATATCCTGTGGGCAAAAGGTCTCCAAAAATGACCAAATCATAAATCTGACCTGGAGCAGTTGTTAAAAATCCTTGTTACAGGTAAACAAGCAGCCATCTAGCTCAGAAGCAACAAAGCCCACATGACAGAAGCACACCAGCCTGTGTGATCACAAGGTGTCGAAGGGATCAGGTATAAGGCATCATCAGAACAAAAAATCATGTCATTGTGAATGAGGTGGGGAGTGTGGAGTGGAGACCCAAAGCCCATTTGTAGGCCACTGGACATCCCCTTACAGAAGAGTCTCGGGGAGGAGATGAGCCAGTCAGGGTGCGATGTAGCAACGATGAAACATACAACTTTACTCTAGTTCCTAAATGCTTCCTCCTCTCACCCCCCCCCCTATCATGATCCCAATTCAACCTTACAAATCTAGCTAGACCAGAGGATGTACACTAGTACAGATAGGAACTGGAAACGCAGGGAATTCAGGACAGATGATCACTTCAGGACCAGTGGTGTGAGTGGCGATACTGGAGGGTGGAGGGAAGGTTGGGTGGAAAGTGGGAACCGATTACAAGGATCTATATATAACCTCCTCCCTGGGGGATGGACAACAGAAAAGTGGGTGAAGGGAGATGTCGGACAGTGTAAGATATGACAAAATAATAACTTATAAATTATCAAGGGTTCATGAGGGAGGGGAGAGTGGGGAGGGAGGGGGAAAAGTGAGGACCTGATGCCAGGGGCTTAAGTGGAGAGCAAATGTTTTGAGAATGATGAGGGTAATGAATGTACAAATGTGCTTTACACAATTGATGTATGTATTGATTGTGATAAGAGTTGTATGAGCCCCTAAGAAAATGATTTAAAAAAGAAGAATCTTCCCATAGTGCAAAAAAAAAAATTGTGCTTTACACAATTGACATATGTATGGATTGTGATAAGTATTGTATGACCCCCAATAAAATGATTTAAAAAAGAAAATGAAAAAAATTCTTGTTACAGATGCATGTTTTAAAAAACAAAACAAACCATGGCCACCAGGCTCCTCATGACAACCAAACACCTCATGGGATTTGATTCCCTGGTTTGGAAGTTTAAGGTCATGGTTTCATGGGATAGTCCATTTAATTATCCTAATAATGTTAATTCGTTGACAGAATTAATAATATTTTGTTATTAAAATGGGGGTGGGGGGGTGGAGGTGGGGGGTTGGAAAGAACCCGGGGAAAGAGGGAAGCCAGGTCTACATTGAACATGGATGGCTGCATTTAGACTCTAGAGAATATCTGTACTCAAGGGGCTCTATGTGCGGGGACAGGGAGAAGAGTTGCTGGCATACAGCACTCTATGCTAAGGTCACTCAACTCAACCGACACTCCTACTAGAGTGATAGGGAGACTTAATGGAAATTCAGGGCTGGGGGAGGGGGGGCACGCCCGCCTGGAAGAAATGCCATTGCATTTCTGATGGTGCGTCAATGGGGAGGAGCAACCTCTCATTAAGCACAACAACAACAAAAATGCTTAACAATACTTATCTAGAACCAACAGGTTCCTAACTGGACACCTTTGACCTAGTTTCTATGCAGCCCTGGGTGGCCCAGGCTGTGGGCTATAGACTACTGGAAGTTTAGACTCTGTCCTTTCGAAGTGAACAGCATCATTTAAATGACAGAAGTCCAAAATCCCTTTGCCGGGTCCCCACATGGATTAAAACCTCCATCAAATCCCTGTAACCATAACTGAGGGATGTGAATAGCCTTGTTATCAGACAGAAAGCATTGTAAAGTTGATTGTGGTAAATGTAGGTAGGTTAAAATGCAATACCTTACCATTTACCCCCCTTCTGACCCCATTTAAAGTTGTTTCAGTAAGAGAGAGATACATGTGGATTAAGCCTCCGGTGAATGCCCTCTGACCATAGAGCACATTAGAAAGTAGAATATTGCAGATGCAATTAGGTTAACATTCAACCCCTGATCATTTGATCTCCCTTTTGACCAGTTTTTAATATTTTCTGCTTTCTTTTCCACTGAGGCTTTTCTCTATTTTATTTTGTTATTATTGTTGTTGTTGTTTTCCCTTCTGTATATTAAATCCAGAATAGGTAAATCTACAGAGACAATAACTGGATGAATGGCTTCTTGGGAAATATGGCAGGGGAGGTTGGGGGGAAATGGGGAACTACTAACTATGAGTATCATAAAGAAGCAAATGTTCTACCATTGATTGTAGTGGTAATGATTGCATAACTCTCTTTAATACGATTGAATGATTGAATCGTACGGCGTGTGAATAATATGTTAATAAAACTGTTTTGAAAAGAGGACCTGTAGATGGACATTGATTATAAAATTTACTTCCCCCAATAAAAAGCATTTCAATGTTTTCACCAATAATTCTAACATGTATACATATCAATGTGGTGACTATTTCTAATGGGGTACCGTAGGATCAATTTAGATGCTCACTTTTTTGTTTCTTGAAAGGCCTCGCAGAAGTAAAGTATCTTGGCTATCAAACCCGTGATGTCTCCACGTTCCGAACAATTGAGAGTTGCTGACCTGCCCTTAACATGTCAAACACCCAGGGAACCACTCAAGATGTCCATCCTCCGTGATACACTACTCCTCACCGGGGCCTGGGAACAAGGGGAATCATGCTCACCTTGCTCACAGTTCACCCTCAGGACAGGAGCTTTCCAGTTCTATCATTGTTGCTTCGCTTGGTTTTACCTCCAAATTCCTAGCCCTCCTCCCTCCAACCCGTGCTTCGTCACCATTGTAAAAGGAAGAGCCTTTCTATGGAGACTGTCACGGAAGAACACGCAGAAACTCCCGGTCACCCCGACGAGCACGGGGCCTGAGATACAAATTGCCCACAGAGCTCATCGTGCTTCCACAATCACTCTCTGGAGTATGCATGTACCCGTTGTGCATGCAAAGGAAATGAGACTCTCCTAGCAGCATCCAGTCAATTCCCATAGTTGGGAGGTGGCAGAGGTGGGGTCTCTGACTGGAGGTCACACTTCTTCTCTACTTAACTAACATGACAGGTGTGTGTGGCCAGAGCTCCCTCCTACTCTCTGGCCATACCTGTCCTGCCAAGATTCACATCAACCCCCCCAAAGCATACAATTGGGTATGAAAACTCAGAAACAGCCTCACCTATTGGAAACAATCCAGGAAACGACACATTTCTGGTTGGTATCAATCCCCACCTCACTGAGCTTGAGAAACCGCTGCTGGTGTCCTAAGGCTCGGATAACAGGCAAACCGGACACAGTCTCACTGAAGTGAGAGTAGATGGGGGACCTGGTGACAGAGTCCAGACGTCTCAGCTGGCGCGAGGTAGCCACGTAAAATGTCTAGGCACAAAAAATGAAGAGTCAGTTAGTTGCACACACTTGTGGCAGAGTGTCTTCATGGCCATGACCCAATAGCCTTCACCTTGGTGACCACAGCCTACATCTGAACAGGACAGAGGCCGCTAAGCTAGGCAAGAAAGCCCACCGGGCAAGACGAATGAGGACACCTGGGGTTGGTGGGGAAACAGATGAGGACAACGTGGCAGAGACTCCATCTTTCCAAACCAAGTGAGGAGCTTTGTTGACAGAATCCTTACTGTGTCCAAGAAGCTAGATCTGTTCTTCTAGGATCTATAGAAGCCCCTGGAACCTAGGGAGTGTGGAAAGCTGGGATAGGAAATGGGCAGGAAAGGACCAGAGAAAAGTAATACTGAGGTGTGTGCAAACATTGAAGAATAGGGTCAGTATGGCAGTTACATCCTCTCCTGTCAACTTGAACAAAGGGGTGGAGTCTCGCCTGTCAATCAGGTCGCGGCTTGATGACCTCATTTGAAGGTGCGATGGAGATAAATAACTCACTGGAGCTCAGACTCTCTCTCTCCTCTCTCTCTCTCTCTCTCTCTCTCTCTCTCTCTCTCTCTCTCTGCTTTCCCTTTCCTGTTGTTGAGACACCAGAGAGCTGGAGGAGCCACGTGGAGAGCCACGCCAGCATTGAGATGCTTCCACTGCCTTTGGATCCACAAGACTGTCTACCCACTGGCCTGTGATCTTCCTCCATTTGACATTATTGCATGTGCTGCATGGTCTAAAGAGGAATTTAGAGTAGTATCAGACTTATGGACTTGATCTGGACTGGCTGGGATGTTTTCTCAATATACAATTGTTCTTTTGTATAAAGCTCTTTCTTATACATGAGAGTGTCGATGAATTTGTTCCTCTAGTGCACCCAGACTAACACATCAGGGAAGTAGGCAAAACGGTGCCTCAAGGACGAGTGAAGGCAAGATTAGTTTTGGAGGGGTGTGGGGTGCTGAGGCTCCAACAACAGGAACTAGGCGTAATAGAGAGGGCAGGGGGCACCTCTGAGCTGTGAGGCGCAGGCACGGTTGACTGGGTTAGGGCTGTTACGACATTTTGTCAGATTTGTTAGAACCAGGGCAGGGATGGGCATCTGAGACCCAGAATACATGTTATAGTGGAAGGTTTCTTCAAGTGGGCTGCCTCTCGTGGGCTGGTTTGCTAGTAGCCGTCAAAAGGCTGTAACCATCAGTGTATCAGATGGCCTCAATACAACTACTAGGAGGGGCCGTCGTACACGGGCCGTAGACCGGGGTCCTCAAACTTTTTAAACAGGGGGCCCTCAGACTGTTGGAGGACCAGAGTATAGTTTTAAAAAAAAAACTACGAACAAATCCCTATGCACACTGCACATACCTTATTTTGAAGTAAAAAAATAAAATGGGCAAAACCACCTGGAGGGCCAGATAAATGTCCTTGGTGGGCCGCAGTTTGAGGACCCCTGCCGTAGACAGTCCCCATGCCTGCAGGGTCTTTGGAACCATTTTCCTTTGATGAACAGGGCATTACAAAGGCCATTGATGGGACACGAATTCTCTCTATAGCACTCTGCCCTGCCCCACCACCATCCCTCCCAATTTTTTTTTCTACTTGCTTTAGCTTTTCTGTCAGACTGGACTTTCAAATGATGGAGCCTGGGTAGTGTAGTGGGTTTTGCACGGGGCTGTTAATCACAAGGTTAGTACTTCGAAAGCACCCCTCCGTCCCTCCGTAAGCCAAAAAGGCGGCTTGCAACCTCCATAAAGATTTACGCTTTCAGAAACCCACCGGGCGGTGCTGCTCCGGGGTGGGGGTGGGGGGCGGGGCGGGGTGGAGGGTATATTATTGCCCTTCCAGACTTTGTCCAGGGCCAACTGCAAAGCAGCCCCAGACCCAACCCGAAACTGCTTCCACCTGTAAGGTCTCTAACTCCTAGGCGGCCAGCAGGGAAGGTGATCTTTCGTGTGGGCTGTGCACTAATCAGCGCTGCCCTGTCAGGCTGAAGCATGGCCGGTGAGCTCCTTGCCAAAGAAAACAAAAACCGCATTGCCATCAAGTCTAAGTAACTCATAGCCTAGCCTGCTGTGGCCCCAGGGGTCTCTGGTGGGCTCCCTGTGACATCCACGTGACCACAGAGCAAAGAGATGGGAGAGGACCGGCACGCCCCCCGGCAGATGGTGAGGAGGAAGCCTGGACGTTGGCAAGGGGAAAGGCAGGGAAGTCGAGCCCTTTCCCAACCTACCTGAACAGCCACGTAAATGAGAGTGAGAGGGATGATGATGATGACGAAGACCGGTGTGGCCACACAGATCATGACCAGGGTGCTGAGGATGCCCAGAAAGCATATGATCCAGCTGCGCAACGTGGTCGGGAGGGTCTCATCCACGGTGGAAATGTCCTGGGTGGACAGGGGAGATGGTGTCCTGGGGAAGTCCTCAGCCGCAGGGCCTCCCCATCCCCAACAGCTCTCTCAGGGAGTCCGTGTGTGGACCTTCTTCTGCCCTACACTGCACTGTCCTGCTCACCAACCAAGGTGGTCACCAGTCAGAGCCCTTCCAAATAGATACGGCAGCCATGCGCCACGTTTGCAATGCGCGGGGCAAGCATTGCTCTCAGTGAAATTCCTCTTGTTCAACATACTCAACGTACCATGGTGAGCGAACAGATCCTTACAAGGTACCTCTTTCTCCCATCACGAAGCCAGTTCAGCTCTCTGACCTTTCCATAGGTTCTCGTTTCTTTGACTAGCCAGCACAGAAGGAGCGCTGGTGATGCTGTGGATAAGGAATTGGGCGGCTCACCTTGAGGTCAGCAGTTCAAACCCCCCAATACTCTCTGAGGCAGAAAGATAGGTTGCCTATTGTCTGTGGAAGCTACAGTCTCAGAAACCCTGTCTCGAGTTCCCCTGAGTTGGCATGCTCCTGATGGCAGTGGCTGCATTTGGTTTATCTAGCACAGAGCCTGGCACACAGAGACGGTCCGAACACGTTTGGCCGGAGGTCCGGTAAAGAAGCCCTGCTCCCCATTCTTGTGTAAGGACTGCCCTGTATCTAGGAAGTTGTTTCCTCTGCCAGGCACAGAGCTGCAAGGAGATAGGGGTGCAGAGGCTGAATGTGACCCCTGCCTGCCTGGGACCCAAACCCAGAGGTGAGGGATGGCTCTTCCTGCCACAGTGAATCCATGAGCAAATGAATGCATGAGTGGGTGGTTGGACACATGCTCAAAAGTTTGGATTCGTATTTGGTATTGCCCTTGCCTAGGGAAAGTGCCCAAAGAGAAGATTCTAGTAAGAAGCATGGATTTTTATAAGAAGAGAGGAAGGCTTTATTTCTCTGACACTAATAGAGGTTCCAACCAGTCATTCTAAGGGATCCCAGACCAAACTCCCTTTTAAAAGCCTGAGAGCCACCACCCCCTCAAAAATTACTCTATAATTAACAAGAAGCTCCTTTTCCATGGCGTGCACAATCAATTAGCAAAGGATCATTGTTGCCGATTGTTCTCAGTAATTAACAGTAAGACCCGTGTCCTCCTTTCTAGATTTATTATACATAGTACACCCTGAGACAAGAGCATGCAACCTTTACAAAACCCCTCTGAGAAAGCTCCCCATCCCAAACTGGGTGCTTTCATCCCCATCAAACAGACCCCATTGACCATGCCTTCAGTCATGCTTCCCCAGCAGACGAGAATAGATGGGTCTGGTCACTTTCCCCCTTTGAAGCAGTTTCTGAGTCTCCAGAATCTGACCGTGGGCTGTGGGTAGTCTTTCTGTTTCAGGCCCAAGACCCAAGAAATAAGGGCTGGGTCTTCTTAACATTAAAATGTATATATGCAGAGGGAACCGATTACAAGGAACTATATGTGACCTCCTCCCTGAGGGACAGACAACCTAAAAGTGGGTGAAGGGAGACGTCGGACAGGGCAGGATATGACAAAATACCAATTTATAAACTATCAAGGGCTCATGAGGGAGGGGGGAGGGGGAGGGGGGGGAAAAATGAGGACCTAATGTCGGGGGTTTAAGTGGAGAGAAAATGTTTTGAGAATGATGTACAAATGCGCTTTACACAATTGATGTAATTGTATGAGCCCCTAATAAAATGTTTTTTAAAAAAATGTATATATGCATTTTCCCTACACACAGAGGGCTGAAAACCATGCTAATGACAGACGGATATTGCTCAGAATCGCTGGTTTCTATCTCTGTTCCTAAAATTCCCACGTCAGACATTGAAACCTCACTGAGAACCAACGAGCTTGCCATGGCCCAAGGAAGAGAATCACCTATGCCTGTAATATTTACTAAGTCCCCCAGTGCCTGCAGCAGAACGTGGCTCCTGGAAGGTGGTTGTTGAAGGAATGAATGCCACGTGTTCTAAGATCTACAGTAGATGGAGATACGTTGTAGAACCTTATCGAAAATCTTCATAGCTCTCTTCTGTGGTCCAGATCTCCAGGTCTCAGACGGCAGTTCCAGGAGCGGAGGCGTGGACCAGTGGGAGACTTACTCCTTTCATTCACGGACACGGGCATGGGGCAGCGCCCTTCTCTCTTTCTCTCTGCACCACAGTCCTTCTCACCTGGCTCTCCTGCCACCCTCCTACCCCCGGCTGCCAACACACCCTTAGCTCATGCCAAGATTGGCCTCATCGCTCTCAACATGTCCTTGCAGTCAGCAGACTCTTTTATACTCCCAGAATGCCCCGTTCACACCGTTGTTATCGATATCACCATATTCGATCACAATGTTGATGGCTCTTTCTAGGCTATGAGTCCCATAAAAGCCTAGAACGCCCCCAAAGGGGACACATAACAGAAATGTGGGTGAAGGGAGACAACGGACAGTGTAAGATATGAAA